GGAAAGAACCCAAATCTATTGAATCCTATTCTACATTGCCACATGGCTTCTGGAAAGTCAGCAAATAGACTAGAGGTGATAATTAAATGAGTACGTGCAATTTGGTAAACTGGCTATTTGCAGAAATCAAAGTGCTTTCAATGGGAAAATTAGAAAAGAGAGACTTACCAGGATCCGAGGGTTTTATATCAGTTATAGGCCTTGAAATTCCTATAACCACCACTCATGTCTAATGCAACAACTAAAGCACAAGACAATGCAATCTTTGTTTAATACCACAACTTCATACATGCTATCCCGCTGCTTTTCAGTAGATAAGGACAATAATTAACTCTACTTTGCAGTACATCTGCAGTACTCCAGTGCAAATCGGGGTTAATTCACACAGTTCTTTCAAATATACCTTATCTGCACCTGACGCGATAGCTCTATCAATTAGCCTGACATGCACTGCACTATCTCATTCTTCATACATATTCATATACCCATGAGGGTTTTGTACATATTCATACACCTGTGAGGAGGGTGTAGGTCTCTCTCTGTGCATTGAAAAGCCATTTAGAAAGCTGGATCAATGTTTGCAAAAGTGACTAGTGATTTGGAGACCTTCAAGGCTTCTGACTTTTTGTGGGGGCAGGCAGCGAACACATTAATGGTGTCTCAGGTTGGACCCTGAAAAATAGAAAGTACCCACAAAAAAGTCAGTTGTCGCTTCCTTAAAAAAAACCCCAACAAATTTTGGCTTGTCTACCACTTTTAACCTTTTTCCATTAATTTTTTCTGTGACTCCAGCTCAGGCGTTCAGCCTAAATGAGTTCTGTTCTCCTCTCACCCTTTCTGTGAAGGTTCACTTGTCCGTACTTTAGAAGAGATAGTGTGGTTTGAAATTAAAATAAGAAACAACTTGACATCTTGGTCCCAAAGACAAACAGAACTGGATGGGGCCTACTGAATATTTTCCTTTTTTTTTTTTAAGGAGTACACTTTTTCACACCAAATTCCCATGTCTTAGAGCGTCTGGGTTATCTAAAGTGAGGTAGCAAATGTGCTAATACCACCGGCATGGACAGACAGCCAGTCCTACGCAGGCACTTTAATCTTGAATTACAGCTGTCCGGTTCTTCCATTCTTGGCCCTCTCCTGGGGATAGAGAGTCAAACTTGATTGACAGATAGATAATTAATATATTTTCTTTCCAATCAATGTTAAAGCAGCCAGTGATCAATTCATATGGCTGCCAAATTGTTTCTAGCCCCTGCAGATTGCTTAGAAGAAGACAGAGAAAAAGGAGAGATCAGGTTTATAGTGGAAGGCACCTGCAAACTCCCCAGACTTTCTGCAAAAGGCAAAAGTCTGACATTTCGGTTTCCTCCAGGATTTCAGTTGGTGGTCTTAGGAGAATTGCTTAGACTAACTTGAGCCGGTGACTTGTAAATTTGAGAGATACAGAAATAACGTCAGAGTGGCCATGAAACCAACCAAAGGGGTAAGGCGGGTGCTATGGTTTCAAGATCTCAAATCCCAATGTGCGCCAGAACTCAAAATGAATGTCTCTCAAGGTCCTTTTCAGCTCAGTCTCTCCTCATTTGTCTGTCCACGTCTTACCACCTACCTACTACCTCCTCCACTCCACCAAGCTTGTCTGCATCTTCTGGGACCATTTCTGTAGCTTCCTTCACATCACTGCCTACACAAAGGTCACATATTTACCTTTTAGGGTGGCTACTCACCAACATCCATGGCCTCCACCATTTCTGCTGGGAAGCCTTCAAGTAATTATCCAAGTAAATAAAGATATGCACTGAGGCGAGTCACATGTAGATGCAATGCTCATCTTTAAAACTGTTTTGTATGTAAAGGTGATAACAGCTGTGCCCGCTTTGGTCGTGTCCCTTCACTCACCCTCAATGGCTGAGAACCAAATCATCAGACTGCGATCCACACTAAGGACCACCACTTTGTGGCACTGTCCTGGGAGCTGCCTCCAATCTATGAGGCCACAAACTGCCTGACAGCTCCTCTGCTGCTCCAGAGAGGGGCGGAAATGATGCTGGGCCTGTATATGGCGCAGTGGTGTTCTGCATAGCATGCTAGCACAGCTCCAGCAGCGGGTGGAGACAGCCAACGCTCTGGACTGCCCCTGCTTCCTTATGGCAGCTTGCAGAAGTAGGAACAAAGGGTATCTATGGAGCAGGGTACTTTGCCCCCAGCCATGTGAAAACAACAGCATGGTGCACAGGCACAAGAGAAGAGAAGAAACCTCCTAGTCTGTAGGACAGGACATAACCTAAGGCAATATCTTCCCATGCAACTATGCCATGTCTAGCTTAACAAGGTCAAAGTGCCATTTCTTTGGCATTGTTCAGAGACAAATAACAAAGAATTGTTTCATGACATGGGAAAGCTGGGAGAACCCCTTTTTTCCTATGGCCTAAAACAGGTGTTTCCAGTCTTGATGTTTCATCACAGAAATAAAGCCAGCAACCACCATCTTGGCCAATTTCTCCATTGGCTGACCCAAGAACTTTCCGATCTAAGAGCATGAATTACTTTAGGGTGAATTGAAATGCCAAGGTTTGTTGGCTGGCATTGTAACAGGCCACTAATCCTCCAGGGATTAGGCATGGACTGAGACTTATAACTGTCACTGAACAGTGGAAGTGTCTGTACATGCTATTAATGTGCTATAGGTTTACTGCGCATTAAGCCTTCCCCGGGAGCACATCTACATGTGCACCCTGTTGGAAGCAAATCTGCTTCCAATGGGAGCAGCCCAGTACAGGGCTGCTTTTGCCTGGCTCTGCCCCCCTGCAGCAGCCAAGGGAAGCTCCAAGCCTCTCCCGGGGTGCAAACCTGGGGGCAGGCA